AGCTAGATGGCCGCTTGTTTATCTTCAAGCCTTTAAGACCCCAGGTGCTGTCTTTTGATAGCCGGGCACAATCTGCTTTTTCATCACATTTGCTTATGCACCCATTTTGTGTTCAGTGATTGTGTTGGGAAGGTGAATGTTACAGAATGCTGGGTTATTAGAACAAAGCGTTCTTGCATTGAGGGAGTATTTGAGTAGAGGCCCAATGTCCATCTGCTACCTTAATACTTTGCATATAAATTCATGTACATAGATCTATTTCCCTGTTGTAAATATATTTACATATATACATTTCTGTATTTAGACTTCTGTAAGTGTCCTTTGCCTCCCAGCTCTTTCCTCTATTTCTTTTTACTTTCCTCCTGTCCCACTATCATGTTCAGCCTTCATTCGGGTTTCAGTAATTCTTCTTAGCCACATTGCCCTTGATCAATCCCCACCAGGCATCCTATGCCCTTCTCTCCATCAATTGTAGATCACTTGTTCCCTAATCCCTGGGATGGTTGACACCCCCCTACCTTCCCCCTTTCCCTCTCTCCTGTGCGGTTCCGTTTTTTTCTCCTCTGGTTTGTTTATCCTGCCTATCTTAATAGACATGCAGAAACAGTAATAAACACAAAAATAAGACAAAGCAAACAAAAACAAAAAAGCCATCGACGAAAAAGAAAAGCCTATGAATTGTTCCAGGTCTGTTTGCTTACCTCTAGGATTGTGTTCCGGTGGAGTCTGATGGAGTACCACACACTGGTTCCAAAGTCTATTTTTGGTTCCTTGGGAACTTCATTGCTTTGCTCCTTTTGCTGCTCTGTTGCATGCCTTGGTGTTTTGCCCTGGTATAGTGGGGTCAGAACAGACACAACTCCTGCACTGTGTTGCCAGTGTTGTCCCCGTAGCACTGTGGTTTAGTGAGGAGCCTCGTGTCTCATGGTGGGCCTGGCCCTATGGTCCTTTCTGTGCATTGGCTACTCTGAGCAGGAATATCGTCCTCGGGGCTTGGAAGGCTAGGATGTGTTCCACTCTCTCTCCTTCCCTCTTCGTTTGCTCCTGTGTACTTTGTGCAGACGCTCCCCTCTCCCTGAACTGTAGCTTCAGTGCTGTCCTCTGAAGTACATTCGTCAGGGGGTGGGGGTGGATTCCACATAGTTGGGATTAGAGCCGGCCCTGCAGACCTCTATTGGTTCACTGCTTCCTGCTGGTATTGCTATTTTAATTGTTTTTAAATTTTTACAGAGTACAATTGTCTTTTTCTTGATATAGAATTCCAAGATTAGACTTAAAGCCAGAAGCCTTAACCATAAAAGAAAAAAAAAAGATAAATGAAACTTCTACAAAAGACATTGGTAGAGGTACCCATATGATTTCCTCCATACTGTCATTGAGTTCATCCCAATGCAGAGAGACCCTCAGGACAGCGTGAACTGCCCCTTTGATTATCCAAGACTGCAACTCTTTGCAGGAATAGCAAACCTCATCTTTCCCCCGCAGATCGGCTGGGGTTTGAACTGCTGACTTTGTAGTTAGCAGACCAACTTGTAATCACTATAGAGCCTTCAAATGGAGGCACGTGGGCCTTATGGCTAAAACGCTGGACTTGTATGATGGTTGATTTAGTCTTGAAAGTATCATTTGGCTAAAATTCAGAATACAGTAAAAAAAACACCTCAGATTGAGATTATGCAATTTTTAAAAAGCTCTATACACTTGCTCCTGTAATCAAGTGAAATTTGTAACACAACACATAGTTAAATAAAGCCTCCCTATGTCACATTTCCCTATTCATAAAATATAGTGCTATTTTTCCGACCTACCCTCCTACACAATTTTCTGAGGACCAGATGCAGTCATGTATATGAAAATACTTTGAAGAATATAAGAACTATTATGTAAAAAGTTTTGCTATAAAATCATAGAAATCTTTATCAAATAAAAATATCAAAATGTTAAGCTATTGTTTATTGATATGCTCTCCACCCTAGGCTATATCCTTCTGAAGGTGTGTTATCATCTCTCTAACCCTTCCCCATAGATTTTTTCATTCTTTATACCATGTCAAAACATCAATGGACTCAATTATGTACCTTTTAAATACTTTGAGTTTTGGGACCAAAAGCAAATCTGAAGGGACAAGATCAGGGCTGTGGGTGGGATAAGGGCCCCCTCCCCCTCCCCCCAAATTCCTGCTACCCAGGATGAATGGGCAGATGCTCTAGTTACTGCTCCTGGGAGCACGTTTCCTGGCCTTTTCTTCACTAATGCAGTTTTCCGTTTTCTTCCCCCCCCCCTCCGTTTTCTTAAAACTTCTTTATAATAAGCCCCCATAATTGTTCTGTTACTGCGAAATTTTACCAAGGTTACCCTTTTGGATTCCTCAAAAAAGTCACCTCAATCTTCCGAATTGACCTCTCTGCCTTGAATTTAAGTGGCCCAGCAGATCCTCTTGTAAACAGTCTCAATTTGACCTGTTTTTATAAGGCAAGCTAATGAAATTAAGACAAGTGTGTTTCTGAAAAACTTGTCTGCAGCTAACCAGATCACTGAAATATGCTTAAGTGCTTTGTTTGGAATAAACAGGTACATATATGAACTAGTAGGAATCCTAGTGGCAATACCTTTTTAACTTACTTTTATAGCATTTCCATAGCAGCCTAGTGGCTACATGTCTGGCTGCTAACTACAAGGTCACCAGTTCAAAACCTCAGGAGAAAGATGAGGCTTTCTACTCCCATATAGTCTCAGAAACCCACAGGGGCAGTTCTACCCTGTTCTACAGGGTCATGAGTTTGCATCAACTTGATGTCAGTGGGTTTTAATTTTTTTATAGCATGTCTATTTACTCCTGTATGCTGAGCAGATAGTCCAATAGCTTTGTATGTGTGAGAAAGGCTGCTACGTACTTATTTAGCAAATACGTAGCTAATCACTAGTTTAAGAGTGGACTGTTACAGACTAAAAGCTCTCTGAGAGTCAAGAAGGGTGGAATTTTAGACACATGTAAGTATGAGAAGAGGCAAAGTGGGTCTGGAGAAGTAAGGATCAGAGAGGATGACATACAGTATTATTTGAGCACTTAAAAAGGTGTGCCTACTTTACATGCCCTTTTGTTGTGTCTGCCCTCGGGGACCTTTCGCTTTCACCAATATGGAATGGTTTCAAAAGGCATCCAGTATGTGAAAGGAGCCCTGGTGATGCCGTGGATTAAGCACCGGTCTGCTGATTGCACAGTTGGCAATTCAGGCTATTTACTACCATAAAGATTTATAGTCCCAGAAACCTTATGGAGTAGTTCTGTTCTGCCCTACAGGTGTAGAAATCACTTGATGGCTGTGGGCTAGTATGTGAGGTATAAGGAAGCTCAAGTTGATGCTGCAACAGGTAGGAAAGGAGATCTGTAGTCTGACTTCTTTAACCATGCAGAATTTATTGAAAAGAAATGTTGGGAGAGAGGACAGGAGGAGTAGGGAAGACAGATGAGCGGGTAACAGGGAATGAATAGGAAGACAAGATACATGAGGGCTTCCGTATTTGAGAATCTTGCCTAGGACTCAGGCAGAGGCAGATGTGATTAGCTGTTGATTAGGGGAAATAAATAAATATCAATTGTGCCCAGAAGGGTGATGTTGGAGGCCTTGAGTCAGAGCAAGAAGCAAGGGAGGTCACAGACTTTTAGATCTTGTTGCAGAAAGATTGATTTCGACAGCATATAATTTGCATCCTGGTTCCGTGGGAGAAGAGGTTCATTGATGGGCACATGTTCTCACATCCCTGAACCATGAATTGGAGTTTTCCCCCTGTAAAGAAGAGAGAGACACTATAGTAAGCAGAAAGCTTTTCCCCCTAACCTTAGCTTTCACCCATATCCCCATTGTCCCCATGTGAGTATGGCCAAGTGCTCCCCATTTTTATGGTTCCTTTCACTGGGCCCCTTTGTGATCTTCCACCCATCAGCAGCCCACTCCTTTCTGATCTTCGATTTTGTCCTCTCTACTGGTTCCTTTTTGGCTTACTAACATACTCAAGTTTCTCAACCTCAAAACTACTTTCTCCTTTGAGCTCATACCATTCTCTCCTTCAGATTTGGATTTTGTGATTCAAAATCCGTGGATCACAAGGCTAGCGTGCTTCTTCTCTTTGGCCTTAGCTGATGCCTCACTTAGATGGCTGGCTAATTTCTTCAGGCAAGCCATTTCAGTTTCTCTTTTATTAGTAAGGTTAAAAAACAAAATAACTCCAAACCTTTTCAAAGTTATTGTGAGGATTAAAATAAGAAAATATATTTTAAAGCGTCTAACACAATGCTTTATCTATATTGCTGCCATCAAGCCAATCCACCTCATAGTGGCCCTATAGGATAGGACAGAACTGCCTCTGTGAGTTTCAGAGACTGTAACTCTTTATGGGAATAGAAAGACCCTTATTGCTTCTGGCTTGATATATAGCAGGGGTTTAATAAAGAACTATTATTATTAACGTCCTCATCGTCACTCCTTTGTTCCAAAAGCCTCAAACTCCTTTAACTGCTATCAAAGTCCTTATGGGATCTGACTCTAGCCTGTCTGCCCAAATTTATCTTCTTACTCCCTTACTCTCCTACGCTGAAAAGACTCCTTAGTATTTCCTCTTTTATACTTGGACTTCTCTGATTTTTGTTTCTATAAATCCTTTACTATCCTTTCTCATTAATTGCGATGAAACGAAATCAGCAGTTCTCAATCTTGACTGCACATTCGAACCGCTTAGGAGCTTTAATTATTTATTGATACCTTCGTTCCATCACATCAGAGATTGTGATTTAATCTGATACAGCCCAGCATTAGACTGCACAGATTACCGGCTTTTATTTATTTATTTTGGCTCCAACAAGTTTATGTTCTCACAGTATAGAGCCTTGAAATCCAAATGCAGACCTCCAGCTTTTGAAGGACGTTTTCTCTCTGTGTTGGCTCTGGAGGAAGGTCATTGTCTCTTATAAACATCTGTTCATCGGGCATTTCTTGGAGATCTTCGTGTGCCTTGGCATCAGTCTTCTCCTGGGTCTATGAGATTCTCACCACAGGGACCCCAGGTCCACAGGATGTGTTCCATTTCTGTTTCTTCTTGATGGAACATTTTCTGAATGCCACCTCCTCCTGAGGTTTCCCTGCACCGCTAAGCTTCCTTCTCTTGAACTTCAACACTTTATGTGTGCCTTTCTTATGATATTCTTTCATATTCTTTGTTTCTTATTTAAAACTGTAACCTCAGTGCTTTGAATAATTAGTTCCTTCCAGTTCAACCCCCTGGTGAGAATGTACTTTTCCACCCCAGATATACTGAAGCCGAATTGGGATCTGGTTAAAATGTAGACTCTGATTTAGTATATTTGGGGTGGGAAGGCAAATTCTCAGCAGGGGTCCAAATAGGAATGAACTGGTTCAAAACCCTGCACTATCTGTTTGTGCAGTCAATATCTGATTCAACTTTCTTTAAAGTCTCATGGTCTGTTTCATTAATGTTTATTGGTGGATGAATGCACCTTTGTAAAAATGTGGAGGAACCAGACAAACCACCAAGGAAATCATGGTTGAAATAAATAAGATCCCTAATTTTAGGTATGATGAGGGAGTATAAGTAGAGAAAGATGTAGGAATATTTAGACCTGAAGACTTGTAAATAATTGTTTATTAGTATATTTGGTTTTTCAATATTCACCATATAAGGGCCTTTCAAACAGTTGGAGGAAATTTTTTATTACCTTGAAATTCCATTTTCCATGAACTTTTTGAGGCCCCTTTTGTGTAGTGACGTAGTAGGTACTAGGAAGATATAGCCAAGAACAAGATAGTCACAGTCCTGAGCTTACCGTCTCTGGATCCACAGGCAACTTATACTTTTAGTAGGTTTCAGAAGGTCACACCTGGCTGACCAAATGCCCCGTTGTCCAAACCTTCACAAATATGCCCATTTCTACTGTCCACTTACTTCCCCCATCGAGAGTCAAGGGTTTCATGGCCCATCATCCAATCTCACCCTGTACATTTATTTCATGGTTGCTGCAGACTTGTGTCCCAAGGGTGACTGAGAAGAGAGAGCACTCGGGTGCAGAACTGTGCTGCCTGTTGGTATAGCTCTGTAACTTCGGCCTCCTTTTGAGAAGTATTCGATCTGAAAAGGACCTCCACTAATAGCTAAGATTATGCTCTTATTTCTTGAAAGACTAAAGTTCTCTTCAATTTCCAAGTTGCTGAGGAATCACCACTTGTTCTTTCTCCAAGCCCCTAACATCCTTCTGCCCCAGTTGGTGTTCAGGTTAGTTGATGTGTTCGCTGACGAAGATTGTCTCATGAAGTCACCACTTACCTTCAAAGATCTTCTTCAACATGCACTGCTGAGAATTCTGAGTGGAGCAGACGCCCTCCCCACGAAGACATTTTCCTTGCTCATTCATGTAAGAGCATGTATGACAACTCAGTCCAGCAGCTGAAAATTTAAGATTTAATACTAATGAAATTCCTTAATGAATTAGGTATGGAGATTTGAATCGGGGGAGAGATGATGGACAAGAATAAGTTGCTTGATACAGCACATTAATTTCTTGGTCCCTACTGAGAATGTCAGGATCCTGTGTCTTACACAGCATAGTTTCTCTGATGGTCCATAAAAAATAATGTATTGTTATTGCTTCATCTGTGACTTTTATTAATATGAATCTCAAATGTATCTCTATAATACTGATTTTCAGGCTAGACCGTATCCCCGTGGGATTCCTAGACATTTATAAATGTGGAATGAGTACAGGCGAGGCAGTGGCTCTCAGCCTTCCTAATGCTGCGACCCTTTAATACAGTTTCTCATGTTGTGACCCCCCCAACCATAACATTATTTTCATTGCTACTTCATAACTATAATTTTGCTACTGTTATGAATCAGGAAACCCCTGTGAAAGGGTCATTCGACCCCCCAAAGGGGTCGCAACCCACAAGTTGACAACCTCTGGGCTATGGGGTTAAAACAGACATGGATTTGAATCCAGTTTTCCAATATCTAGCCGTGTGAATTAGGCATATTACTTAAGCCTCACTTCTCATTTGAAAATTTAGGATAATACTTATTCAGTGGGCGAAATATGAAGTATTTGTTTCTGGTAATAACTTAAAGCATCAAATCTTGTGGTGTGTTTCTGTTCCTTGAACAACCCCATTTCAGCAAGAGTCACCAAATTGCAGTTGTCCAGGAAACTTATTCTGGATCTAACAGACAAAATTGTCTGCATCCTTTACTTTCCATGTTCAAAAACACCAGCTACTGTGCTAGACATCTCTTGACAAGGTCTGCAAAGTTATATGACCTAACAGTTTAAGAGGCAGATTTATCATGAGGCTAATAAAAGTCTTCAGGATTCTGCACAACCGTGAGCTACTTCTGGGGAGCATGAGCATTTTGTATTTGTCAGTTCTTATGAGGTGGGAGGTCAGGGCTGCTAGCATTTTGTATTTATATTATTTTTCTTAAAGAGAGATCTCCAAATGGTTTGACATTAGGGTCCCCACACAGCTTGGATCCTGCCTTCTGGCATTATTGTTATCTACCCTCCATATAGAGAGACCTGTTGGGGAAGTGTTTACTGTTATTTCCACTATTCTCTTCCTCCTCTAAAATTCAGGACTTCAAACATGTTCATCCCCATTCAACCCATGCTGAAAATTTGTATTTACATCCAGGATACACAAGATCAGAATCTATAGTTTAATAAGATACTCAGGTGATTTTTTAAAAATCATTTTATTAGGGGCTCATACACCTCTTATCACAATCCATACATACATCAACTGTAAAGCACATTTGTACATCCATTGCCCTCATCATTCTCAAAACATTAAACATGACCTGAGACTTTTAAAAATGCAGATTCTGATGCAGTATATCTGGGGCGGAAATACAAGTTATCAAACTGGGTCAAACCAAAATGAACTGGTTTGCAGTCCTGTTAAAACTCATGACCCGTACTCCACTTCCCGCCTGAAGTCAAGGCCTGGGACCCATCCAAAGGCAGCTCACCTGAAGACGGAGTGATTGAAGAGAGTGTGCCTAACGACGGCTCGCTGGAAGGCTTTTCACCAGAAGCCTGCTCTCCAGAAGCTGAGTCACTTGATGACTGGTCATTTGAAGACTTATCATTTGAAGGCTTTTCCGAAGGCTTTTCCACCAGAGATTGATCACCTGAAGATTGTTCACCTGAAGGTTGGTCACCTGAAGCCTTGTCACCTGAAGCTTTATCACCAGAAGATTTTTCACCTGAAACCTGCTCACCAGACTTTTCACCTGAAGCCTGTTCACTAGAAACCTTTTCACCAGAAGATTTTTCACCTGAAACCTTTTCCCCAGAAACTTTGTCGCTGGAAGCCTTTTCACCGGAAGCCTTTTCGCCGGAAGCCTTTTCGCCGGAAGCTTGTTCACCCACAGGTTGTTCACCAGAAGCTTGCTCACCTGAAGTGTTCTCGCCGGAGGAGTGGTCCGTTAAAGAGTGCTCACCTGAAATGGACTCATATAAAGCCTCCGCATCTGAGGGGTTTGCAAGTGGGAAGTACTCACTTGAAAGTTGGTGAATTGAAGCTTGGTGATCTAGAGAGCCAAGAGGCTCATCAGGCTGACCTGATGCTCCTAGGTTAGAGAGGGGAACAGGAGAGACATGGCACAGGTGAGAGAATGTCAGGAGGAAAGACTACTTTAGTTCAATAAAATTGTAATATATATGGAAAGAAAGCTGGGGAAAACATGCTAACCTCTTTTCTCAGTATTTCTTACAGTTTATGACTTGTTGCTTTATCATGTTACTGGCACATAGGAAGGGGCTTCAGAAAGTTTAGGGAGAAATGGAACGAAAGGATAATGATCCTCCCACCACCACCACCATCACCACACACACCACCACCACCACTACTTTCTGAAGTCCCCTTGTACTACCATCTGGTGGCAGTATATCTACACTTGAGAGGTCAATTTTTAAGTCTAACAAGGCAAAGAACTTAATTTCTGGAAGTCTATTGTAGAAAACAAAGATTGTCATCTGATAGCTCAGAGCTCATATCCTCTCTTTTTCCTACAGGAGGCAGGAGAGGACAAAGCCCACTAAGATTGTGAGGGAGTGAGGATGGGGAGTCCTGTAAAAGGAAATAACAGCATAATGGATCACACACAATCTTTTTTTAAAATCATTTTATTGGGGTCTTGTACAATGCTTATCACAATCCATACATCCATCCATTGTGTCAAGCACATTTGCACATTTGTTGCCCTCATCATTCTCAAAACATCTTTCCACTTGAGCCCCTTCACACACAATCTTGAAGGAGAGACTTAACAAGTCTCTCATGGCCCTGCTAGGTTCTGAGATGACTTTCTCGGCAGCATTTTATATTTCTATCCCTGACACATTGACCACATGAGGACCCCTTACACTGAGCTGGTTGGGACAAACCTTTATTCAGCTTCTAGAGAGACCTTTTTCCCCATCTTCGAGAACATCAGGCTCAAGTATATTGAGTGGCTAAAAGGACCACCCCAGATCATTGAGCCTCTCTGACTGTAAAGTCACATTTAGGAAGATTTGCCTGGTTTAGGAATTCGCAGAGGTGGGCTTGCGAAGCTATTCTTGATTCTGAGTCCAATTGGTTAAGGGCTGAAACATTTTAAAGGAGGCCCCTTATGTGTACACACACCAGTAGATATGTAACATAGAGGACTCACCTCTGGCAGACCCAAGCAGGTAAATTAGTAAGAGAAACCTCATCTGGATTTGGGAAAGCAGGAGCCCTGCTGTTGGGCACCCAAGAACCCTGAAGGAAACTGTGAGCAGAAACTCCCAAGAGTGAATCAGAGCATCTGGGGATTCTAGAATCACAGAGTCAGATCATATCTCCTCATAATGGGCTGTGCCCTGAGGTTCTAATGTAGCCTGTTGAGGTAGGTTGACCCTCTATCAGCCCATGGCAAATCCACCAGGGAAGAATGAAAAGTGTTTGCTATGTGCAAGGTGCTGTGTTGAGACTACCTGCCCTATCTTAAAAAAAATTACTAAAGTAATTTATACCCTCTAATAAATTTAAAATCACACCTACTCTCTTTTAAAAAGGTTCTTGGCATTGAAGGACGATTGAATTGATTATTTTCTATTTGCTTTACTGAATTAGCCTTTCTTTGTCATGATCTATACCCCAGAAGTTTGACCTCTATGGACTTTATTTATTTGGGGGTTTGATTAGATTGAGTTTAGACAATGGCTAATGTGAGGGTAGAGAGAGGCACAATGTTGACTATTTCCTGCCATAGTTATGACACTGGCTGGGTCTTTTATGACAGAGCTTCTTGTGTGTGGCCTTGCTTCCAAGACTCCAGCTTTCCACAAGGCTATGGTAACATGTTCTTTTCCCCCTTACCTCCGTAGGCCTAGAGATGATAATGGTCTCTAACTGTTGCTAGAACCTTAGTGTTTCAACTTTCTTTGTTTCCTTAAACCTGCCCATAGTCTTTTCATGCCCACCTATAGTAGTCATGGTTTTGACAAGAGACAGATGGCAATTCAAATGGGCATCTAGGGAGAGTTTACAGAAATGCAGGCAGGGCAAAGATATCAACAAGGGATAGTTGAAAGTTATACCATAAGATGTAATTTCTATCAAGGGGTAGCCAAGCAGATAAGGTGAGGCATCCACCTGGTATAAAGCTGATTTTAGAAGATTTCCCTAGGCCCCAGGTCCTTCCTCAATGCCAAGCACTCTTAGACTGCTTTGTCACTTGTATCACTGAATTTTAGATCTAGAATAGATTTGATCACTTTGCAATTATTTGTCAAGAGGACAATAATAACCCTGTCATCGGATTCCTGCCTTCTATGAAGGAGATTCAAGTCTGATTCCCAGCTGTACAATGTATAGTGGTTCTTTAAGTCATAATCTTTTTAACCAAAGGACTGGGTAGGACCACATAAAATAAGATGTATGGATCTTTAACGTTGGGATCGGCCAGTTTTGCCATTCTGTTGAGTTTTAAACGAGCCATCTCAGACATGGGGATGAAGTATTTCACCACCATTAAGAAAGAGCCAGGAGTGGGGCATGTTCTTTGGACCTAGATAGAACTACATGGAATCTACTTGATCCAGGAGATTGGAGGCTGTGGCACTAGAGAAGTGGCAGAGAAACAGCAGCAACTGAGGTGGAAGATGAGAGAGAGAGAACAGAGCAGTGGATTTCCTAGCCTACAGAGCAAGTAAAGATGAGTGTGCTTACAGGCATGTGGCTGGCTCCCTGGCAGAGTGGGTTGCCTCCAGTAACTTAACCTGGGAAGCTAGATGGGGGCTTATAGTAGAGCGATGTGCCCTTTGGGCATTTACTGGCAATACTAAAGGAACTCTGTAACACTTGCCTGCATAATGAAGAGACCTTGTGGCTGCGAGGCCCAGGGCCAGAGAGAGGCATGGCTGAGAGGAGGTAGTTCTGACTGTAGAATTGCTGTATTCTGTGTATTTCTTATCCTGAATTGTAACCTGCTAACTTCCCTAATACGGTCCATATTTGTGATTTTTTTTTCCTGTGAGTTCTGTGTGGCCATTGGAATGGATTATAGAACCTGCAGAGTGCCGTGGGAGAGACAATTGATATCAAAATTGGTAAAGGGGTTGGAAGCATGTCTGACTTCTGCCTTGTAAGAATTGACCAAGTGTGGATGCTGATGGTGATTCTCCTCCCGCCTCCCCTTGTGAAGTCAGAGAATATGACACACTGCCCCTATGGCATTTTAGCACCAGCCAGTGCACTTCAAGTGTAGTCACTATTCATCTGAAGTGGAAGCTAGTATGTTGATCAGATGTCGAACAAGTTTTAGCAGAACCTCTAGACTAAGATGAACTAAGAAGAAAGACTTACTGATCGACTGAAATCAGCCAATGAAAACCCTGTGATTTACAAGGGTCTGACCCCATTGCCCATGGGGTCTTCATAAAGCAAGGTCGACTTGACAGCAGCTAACAATAAGCAAGCTGCTTTTTTGCTTAATGTCTGTGTCTCCATTAGACTCTCAAGCTTGAAAGGAGGGGACCTTGTCCTTGTTGATCACTCCATTATCTTAACAGCATGCTTTTCATGTAATCCCAATGCAAACCAAGTCAATTTCAATCCCTAACAACCCTATAGGACAAGGTCGAACTGGCCCTTTGAATGTCCAAGAATTTAAATCTTTACATGATTGAGCAGCCTCATTTTACTCCTGCAGATTGACTGGTGGTTTCGACTCAATAACTTTGTGGTCAGCAGATCAATGCATAACCCACTATACCGCAATGAATAACCCACTTCTTTGCCATCATAATAGATACTTAATAAATTTTGAATGGCCTTTTTTGCCTCATGTAGTACAATCTAGAGGAAAAATCAAGACCATCAGGGGTCAAAAGTTACAGAGAAAGAGCTATTTTGCTTGAGTTGGAGAACAAAAGTAGAATATCTGTGCCTGAGGCTAGGTCCCTAGGGATTAAAGAAAGGATGGGGGAAAAACTTACTATCAATAGTCCATTTAATAGAGTGAGTTTGGAGAAAGATAGCTCTGGGATCTCATTGGGTTACACTTTTGTTGATATGGGCACTGGAAATTAGTGAAAAAGATGTTATCACATTAATACTACCCTTCAGTACAGTGAACTACTTAATATTGCTCTTCTAGCTATAACCCTCCATTTTTATATGTTGTAAATCTTAGCCTTTATGCCTGTGGTTGCCTGGTGGCATAATGGATCATATATGCATTGGGCTGTTTATCACAAGGTCAGCAGTTCAAAACCACTAGCTGGGCCACAGAAGAAAGATGAAACTTACTTCTTGTAAAAAGACTTATAATTGACTTCTGGCAAGATGGTGACTAACACATACCAGAGGGACTCTGTAGAAATCAGTACAGGATAGTCGCTAAGAGGGAAATTTCACACTGTTGCATTGCAGGAGGAGCATCATAAAGATAAATAGGCACAGATCCATTAGGTTTTGAGGAGCTGGGGGCCTTTGGCTTGCCACTGTGGAGGCCAGCTAGGGTTTTACCTTAGCCCCACCACGGTCTTGGCCAGAGTCGGGATCCTTTGGAGCTGGCCTGAGGGCTTTATCTCAACACAGCCACAGCTTGCCACTGCCTTGGGGTAGCATTTAAACCCCTCCAGCGCCACAGTTGGATAAGGGGGCTATGTTGTTACTTTTGTTTCCCTCTCTTCTCTCTTTCTCCCCACAGTCTCAATGGACTGTTTTTTTTTTTCTTTCTTCTGTTTCTTTTCTCTTCCCTTTTTTCTCACATGCCACTGTTGACCTACAGGCCACTCCTGTTAGCTGAAGGCATTTACCCCTGCCCTCCACCCAACTGAGCAAGCCCTACTTCTGGAGCATAAAATGAGGCTAGGGAAATCCAGCCCACCTTCCTCAGGGGGATAGCCCACCCACATCTTCAAGGGAAAATCCTGACTGCCTTCTGCAACACCTATATCCTGCCCACCTTCCTCCACGGAAATCCCACCTGCCCACACATCCTCTGCAGCATTTAACATGCGGCTGGGGAAATCCTGCCCACCTTCTGGAGGAAGTCCCACCTACATGGCTGGGGGAGCTCCTACCCTTCCTCTGTGGTCCCACATGACTGAGGGAACTTCCTCCCACATGCCATAGTACCTCACACGGCCTGATGCATCTTGGCCAACACTCCAGTGCTCCATGCTACTGTGGGAACCTCTACCCAACCCTGCAGCAATCTAGCTACCAGGGCAATTCCACCCACCATCCATAGTACTCTACACCAAAGCGGGCACACCCACCTGCCTTCTGTGGCCCTTCTGTAGCAGTAGGCATCCCCACACACCCTCTGCAGCATCCCACGCTGCCATGGGCCACACTATCATGGCTTCTTGTGAGATCACCCAGTGCAGCACCAGTGGTAGGCACTCATTTTTGTCTTAAAAAAGTCTTTCATTCTTCCTAAAAGTGTCCTAAAGCAGCCCCTGGTTCTGCACTGCCCCTCGTCACCACTCCCCTCGCTCATTTTCTTCCCAAGGCTGCTTTAAAGCGTTAGTCACACTCAGTACTTTCACTTCCTTTCTGCCCTTTGCCACCTCCTAAAAAAAAGTGATCGCAGTAAGAGTATATATAGCAAATCATTGGCCAATTCAACGTTTTCTCACGGACAAATTAGTGGCCTTGATCATATTCATCTTGTTGTGCCGCCATTAATGATGATCCTTTTTTTTTCCAGTTAGTTCAAGGACTGTTTGTTGGCCTTTAGGAGTGTTTTTCAGTCCAGTCTGTTGGGACACCACGCCCTGGCCCCAACGTCCACCTTCAGCGTTCTCTGGGGACCTCGCCGCTCCGTTCCCTTGCTGTTCTGTTGCACCCCCTTAGTGTTTTGTCTTGGTGTGGCGGGATCAGATCGGGCGCAATTCCCACACTGTGTCTCCGGTGCTGTCCCCTGCAGGGCCGTGGGTCAGTGAGGAGCATCATGTCTCATAGTGGGGCCGGCCATGTGGTCCTCTCTGCGGACTGGCTGCTCTAATTGGGGTCATCGTCCTCAAGGCCGGTGGATTACCCTTTTCCAAATTATTCCGGCCCCATTAACAGAAACTCAGTGCCCACTGAGCCACTCCTCTGTCCCTCCACTGGAAACCATTACGTCTCTGCACAATTGACCGTCTCATGTACGTGGATCATGCAATATTTCACTTTGTGTGACTGACTTATTTCACTCAGAATGTTTCCAAGGTTCACC